TACCGAGAACTGGGTGTAATTGCCCTATTGACCCGACCTACAGCCGTGCTATTTCAACTGTTCTAGTCAAGAAGGTGCTTTACAACAGCAAATGCTACGACAACTTGTCGATCGCTGAATTTGGATCCAAGAGCGATTTACTCGCAGTTGTTGAAAAAGCGAATGTGCCAGTGGTCCAAACGCTCCCGGGCACTGGGAGCGTCCCTTTGAGGAGACAGGGATCTACTCAATCGAGTCGAAATACACCTTTTACTCTTCGTTTTATCTGAATAAATTTCACGTTTCTCAATGGGATGACTTAATGAAAAGGGGCCTGATAAAATGAGAAATTCAACCAAATTACACAACTAAGCTATTGCAGTGTAGTAGTAGTTCCAGGAAAGAAATTATTAGGTCGCATTCAAAAGTGCCGTGACATATAGAGGAATGGCAGAAAAGCAAAGGGGATAGGGAAGCGGGCTACTATACCATTTGGAGGCTAGTACCTTTAGCTGTGTATCTGTGAAATTTGGCGAACCTACCCACAGAAGAAGTTCTCGAGAAATTGAAAAGAAGCCCGAGTGGTGAAAATCAGCGCCCGATTTTCAAATCAGACGTCATAAGAGGGAAGTGCGCTGCTCAAATTTGACCTGCGCCGGACCAGTAGTTGTGTGTAATGGTGTTCTCGAAATACAAGGTGGAATTGGTTCAGGAGCCCGAAGAAGGAAGAAAGGAAAAAATTTGTTGTCGTGGATGGTCCCATAATGTTCATCCTGCACAAGAAAAAAGGGTGGATGAAGTCAAGCGCTGAATGTCTGATCCCAGAGCCTTTTGTCGAGCTTCCCCGCGAGTCTGACATCCCAGCTGCAACTGCTGCCCGAGTTATGTCCGATAAACTGAGGATGGTCAAGAGGGTGTGCGCATGGGTACCTAATTTTCTTGTAGAAGCACGAACGCAGTACCGATTCTATGCCTCTAGCAGTAATGTTCTCAGCATGAGATGTCATTCACGACTGTGAAAACGCACCCCGGCCCTAGATGAAATATGGGTGGTCGAGCCAAAACTCACAATCGTCAATTTTGTATGAATGCAGATGAGGAGCCGTCCGAGTTCTACCATAAGGAGTTACGTGGGCATAAGTGGATGATCATCATAGCAAAGGATGCCTACACTGTGGCTTTTAGGCGGCTTTATACAGAGAACCAATTTGTCATTGCCGGTGTATACTGCCCGTTCCTCGACAATCAGTTCGACAGAACAATGACCTCATAGGCCACTATAACTCGTCACAGTGCCAGACCCTGAGTAACTGTATTTTGGGCACTGCTCGTGAGAACAGGGTATAATCTCATTACGTTTTTGGATGGGAAGACCTAATAAAAGGGGCCTGGTATGAGAAGTTCAACCATATTACACAACCAAGCTTTTACAGTAGTAGTCTCAGAAAAGAAAAGAAATTATCATCTGTGCTAGATGTTCGATGGAAGGACACTTTATCACATGAGATATCATGATACGCGATCGTGTATAGACGCTTGCTACCTCACTGCATACTGGGATATTTCACCAGTTTCGTTCGGGCGTCGTACAAAAGGCGTGGAATGAGCCCAACTCTTCGCATTTTCCACCAGTAGTGACCGGCTCAGGAAAAAACAACCACTGGTCGGAAAAGGCGGGTGGGCTCATGCCTCCTGACACCGCCTCGACTGATTTCATCTTTCTTTCTCAAGATCTCTACTTGCGCATCGACACGCGCCCATAACTGTTTCCAGATATGCGAATGCATTCGTTCGATTTTCATGAATATGCCCGATACGTTGGGATCATTGATCGAGAACAACAACTCACTCGATCTTGTCGACATGAAAATGTACACTTGGCAGATGTTTAATGGCCTACAATATCTCAGTCAGGTGAGCTTCGCCAGTTCTAGAGTTCTAGATCGAGAGCGGAAAGAGGACGTGAGTGCTTCTCCCTTTTCAGTTGCAGATCATGCACAGAGACGTAAAACCAGTCAACATTCTCGTAGACCACGGGCTTGGTCTTTTGAAAATTGGCGATTTTGGTTCTGCGAAAGTTGTACGGCCAGGAATGACGTCAACACCGTATCAAGTCTCTGATTCGGATTCTCCTGGCCTCACCTCACTAGATTAAGACTGTACTTTTCCAGGTGACACGATTCTATCGACCACCCGAATTACTACTCGGATCTGAAAGTTACAACTGGACAGTTGGTGGGAGCATGAATTGAGTGTTTTCTATTCAGCGATGGCCTTAAGCAGCTTGATAGAACTTCCAAGAACTACCCCGTACATTAAATTTGTCATATGTCAAATGCATCACTTACAAATCATGGCATACAAATTCATCATGAAAGGGTGGGATCACTGCGTAATTGCTGCAGATAAGCAAAATAAATGAAACAAGGGAGTGGGATCAGTGGCACTGTAGCTTCGAGGTGTGGTACGATTCTGTTCACTACAGAGTTTTCGCTGCGGACGCTGGGGCATGTCACGAATGGGGCTAGGTTTGGCGCGGCGCCGGCCCGTTCTCCATTTGCTGTTGAAGCGGGCAGGCGACAGCAAATGGGCAATTGGTAGGAAACGGTCAGGCGCTGAGTCAACCCAGCGCCCCGACGTACGGATACCTTTTCATACTTTTGTGTATCCACAGACTTCGTCACAGCATTTCATTCATCCTCATCCGACCTCTTCACTCTTTACGCCTCTCCACTCATTCTTAACCTGTCATTTCCGTTCTCTTTTCATTCTTCTTATGTTCCTCAGATTTATTTCTGCGCTTCCTTACCCTCATCACATTCGGCCAATGTGCACAACTTTTTTTTGAAATACCTCTCTGAAGTGTATCCAGCTAAGTTTTTGCAGATGTATGGTCTGCCGGATGTGTAGTAGGAGAGATGGTGAAGGGGAATGTGCTCTTCCCCGGTCGAGATACGAAACACCAACTGAAGCTTATTCGGCGAGCCTTGGGTAGCCCCACTGATGCTGACATGAAGTGCGTTTCAATTCAAATTAAAACAAATAATTATGCATACTTATAAGCATGATCACGAGCGATAGGGTGCACTTCGTACTCCGGGAATAGGGTGGGCGTGACTGCGTACCTCATTTGAACATGGCGTAGGATGTGTTTTTTGAAAAGTATCCCACTTCAAGCCACAGTCATCCTTTTTCGTGTGGACGAATTCATGATAAGAACTGTCCTAAAACGGCAACATCTGGAAGCGCAGCCAATGCCATGTTTAAGCGGTGCAGTCACCCCCATCCCACATACGCGATATGGGGTGTAAATATAGGAGAGGAAAAGCTGACTAGCTATGGAGTGTGTTGGACAGTCACTGAAGTTCGCAACGTTTCAATCGTTCACTCAAAATGCTCTACGTGTGTTTCTTCTGAAATGTTTACGAGACTGAAGGCGAGACAGATCCTCAAAACAAGGGGAGAAGAAGTCAGCTGGGGCTCTTCAAGAGCTTATTGTGCCAAAATGGGATTAACACAGTGGGGAATCCCTCATCTGGGGAGATAGTGGTGCACCCACGCGGAAGTTCCTTTCTCCGTCGGCTCAGGCTTAAAGACTCATCGACATTGAGCTTGTTACCGTCCTCATCTCCTCATCATTGCGGATCGGTGGGGCGTGTCAGTGCGGCTGCGTTTGGCGCGGTGCCAAAGTCGTTCTGCACCAGTTGTTGAAGCGGGCAAGTGACATTACTGTATTATATCCTTCGTATTACTCGTTTCTACCACTTTTTGTCGCATACGCGTTTCAACAAAAAAAGGCTGAGAACGGCTTCAACAGTGTGCACACTCATACTGGCTGACACGCCCCACCGGTCCGCAATCATCCTGTAGGTATGTCTGACGCCGACAATGCTACTTCGAAATGGAATATTCAGAAATCGGAATAGTATTCCCTATAAGTCGGCTCGAAACCAATGCACGAGCTGCGATGAGACCCGTGCAAGCGGTAATCGTTACGCAGTCCTTTTAGGATTCGTTGCGACTTTACCTCCTATCTACTATATACGGTCGTTTTCGCTGCAGACGCTGGACATGTCAGGGGAGTTGGGTTTGGCGCGGCACCAGCTCATTCTTCGCCATCTGTTGAAGCGGCAAGCGACATCCGTTGGCGATAAATAGGCTGACGCCGCGCTAAACCCCCTCTCCTCCACAGGCCCCAGCGTCTGTAATGAAAAAGTCATATAAGTAGTATAAGTATAAGCCGATCCGCTTGCTGGAAGGATGACTTGCTGGTGATGTTCAACACCTCAGTTAACCGAATATTTTTTCCTCTCAAACAAGTATAGGATCATAGGATTAACTAGCCGAGCCGGGAGCGAAAAGAACCATGGATGACATGACCATATTTGCACCAAGAGGCGGTGCTTCCCCCCTCCCCTCCCGATCCTGACCACCAAACCCGCCAACTTATCCACGCATATTTGTTTTTTTTTTCAGATCGATGAAGATCGCCAGATCAGCAGATAGCATCCCTGAACGGACTGCCGGCACAGGGCTTGCGGCGGTATGAGACCTATCGAGAACATGATTCGTACGCTTCTTACTTATAGCTGATTCCAGCTCCTTCCTGGTGCTCGACCCGATGTTGTGTTCTTCATTGGTAAAATACTCGTTTACCGGCCAAGAGCAAGATTATGCGGAAAAGAGGTTTTACGAGACCCCTTTTTTGACTCACTATTTCGGTAGATTATTAATTTTACCAGAAAAAACTGCTACCCTGCAGACGCGACTATTCCTACTCTTTCCAGAGAAGGTGCCAAACGGTCAAATGGTCAGCCCATATCGCAATGCATAACGTCCTCTGACATTGCGGAAGCTCATTCAATGTGGGTTCTGGGATTGCACATTCTTTTGGTTACACAGCTATTAGAGGGGAGGGAGGTGCTCCCAGAATCTCTAGGTAGGATACCGTACTTTGAAGGAAGAAGCAATCGAGTCCGCGCTTCAACCTAATTATTTCAAAATTTTGATTTCAGAGACGAATCTAAAGTGAAGGCTAAGCTGACCTCCATAATAATGAGGACAAAACTCGACTTCAGTTGTGACGATGAATCGAAAGAAAGTCGTGAAGTGAATGCAGTACAAGGCCAAAAGGCCGCCATCAGTAAGGTACGACTCACAAATAATTCGACACAATGGTTATGACTGGGCGCTTTGGTTCCTTCCGTAAGGTTAGCTTTCGACAACTTGGGATCTCCCCCAGTAGTTCTCACATGTTTGCCAGGTCCTATGCAAAGCGCTTTGCTTCTTTCACGCTCAAATCCTTGCCTCACATATTCCGGAGAGGTGTATTCCATCAGACTACCGGTGCTCAAACAAGCGTTAGAAATTAACGGGTGAATTTATACTTCAATGAAAACCGCATACAGCAAAAAAAAAACAGAGAAATAATGGTCTAAAGTTCTTTTACTCCACGTAATTAAGCAGTCATTGTAGCGATTAGGGTGGGTAGGTCCGGGTCGCAGTGACTCGGTGCGCGCGTAGGATCGAACCAATCAGTAATCTTGATACCTTCCATACTAGTTCGCTCGCATTTGCATGTAATCTGTAAGTTTCTAAATGACCTTGTCGTTAGGCTGCGTTAGCGTCCACCAGTGTCCATCCGTGACCACCAGCGTCCACAAGCATTTCGAGCGTAAGCCAGCGCCAGTGACTAGGAACTTATAGCAAACGCCGGTGTCCGTCTACTAGCGTCCATCAGCGTCTCGAGGGACTAGGAAAGTATGGATATCGATTTAGCGAACGCCAACGTCTACCAGCGTATTCGCAAGCAGTTTTACTCGTGTTTAAAAGTGCCTGCTGTACGCTGGCGTTTGCTAGATCGACACCTACCCTTTCCTACTCCCTCGAGACGCTGGTGGGCTCTGGTAGACGCTGGCGCTCGCTGAATCGATATCTATACTTTCCCAGTAACTGGCGTTGGCGTACGTTCGAAACCTGGTGGTCGCTGGTGTACGCTGACGTGAAGTATGAACGTAGCCTTAGGTTGTTGTGAAGCTGATTTGGAAACGCGGAACTTTGTACGCTAACGAAAAAAAAGAAATATGATTCCTTCGAGCTTACGATGATTGAAGCACTAACGACAGTCTTTTGAAACATTATAGGAGAAAGTTGGACAATCCAACGAATCGGTAGAATCTACGGAATTAAAGAAAAAGGCAAAGAAGAAACTCAGGGGAAGGAGTACGATGATGGCGCCGAAGTTTGGCAAGAAAGGACAAAGTGTTAGTTTCTTTCTCAGAACATTTAGAAAAAAAGCCCAAAGCTGCTCGCTAACGTGCAACGTTTTTAGGCAGAGCAGCGGAAGAAATCGATATTACGACGACTAAGAAGCACGCAATAGGACTGCGGCAATTCATAGTTCAATTTTTGTGAATCCACTCTTAAAAGCATCAAAATCAAAATCGCCTGTCAAACTGTGTAAATTCATAATAAGGGTGTCTATTGTATAAATTTGTTGATATGATTTATCTATTTCTTTATTTGATGCACTCACTGGCGCGCTCATTACAAATCTCCGGCAGCGTATACACCATTTTCATTTTACAGTCCTCATCACTGCGGACCGGTGGGGCGTGTCAGTGCGGCGTTTGGCGCGGTGCCAAAGTCGTTCTGCACCCAGGGTACGCCATCGTTGTGATCATCACAAGGGGGGGTCGTATTTGACCGCGAGGGAGGGGGGTCGTATTTGGTCAGAGAAAAATTTTTTGATAGTTGATTTCTCTTGTTTCACGGACGCTGTAAAGGGGGGGGGGTCGTACTTGGTCATTTTTGGGAGGGGGGGGTCGTATTTGGTCAGTTCACGGACGCACTACTATTTCCGACACTTGAAAATGATAGTTTAATCCTGATGACCCCCCCCCGCTCGAGTTCAATTCTGACGGCCTCTCCCCTCCCCGCTCGACGGCTCGGTTCGATGAGGAAGGACAGAGGGCTGGGAGGGGGGGGGGGGGTCGTACCAACTCCCAAAAGGGGGTCGTATTTTAGTATGGAATTAGGGGGGTCGTAATTTTCAGAAAATGATCACAACGCGATGGCGTGCCCTGTCTGCACCAGTTGTTGAAGTGGGCAAGTGACATTACTGTATTATATCCTTCGTATTACTCGTTTTCTACCACTTTTTGTCGCATACGCGTTTCAACAAAAAGGCTGAGAACGGCTTCAACAGTGTGCACACTCATACTGGCTGACACGCCCCACCGGTCCGCAATGATGAGGACTGTAGATCGGGCATTTTTCAAACCAGATAGGACACTTTCCAAATCGAAATCAAATTGGACACGCCCTTTACAAAGTTGACCCTGGACCACACTAACATAAGTGCTGCTGCAAGCCCCGCAGCACCCCCCCCCCACTTCGCGCAGCTTCTCTGCGCGGCCAGCCAAAACCTATCTATGAACTACCAGTTTGGCTGACGCACACTACTGCGCGTCCGGCCGGGGTGCTGATTGCTGATAGGATTTCTGTGCTGACCACTAACACTTGGCTTGATTCCATGTCTCGAAGTACGGCCTACTGCACCATATTTCACCTTTTTAATGAACATTTGCCAATGTCTGATGCTTATCACGTTTCTAAAAACACCCACCATTTGATGGAAATAGGGCAACTTAGCGGTTGAAAGAAGTTCGGTGGTAACATTATCCAAGTCTTGGTGGAAGCTACTTATTTCCTAGCGTTTCCGTTGAGCAGCTTTCAGTCCGTCTGCTGGTGGCCCTTATCACTCCTCACTGACAAACATCTTTAAGCTTTTACTTTTGGAAGAATCTTTAGAGTTTAGCGGTTGAATCAATTTGGTCTATATAGCTCAAGGATAGAAAGTGCCTGGCTCACCAAGCCTTTGCTCATCGATTCCTGGACCACAGTGGTGAAGCTCAATCGCAAGCAGAGTAGGGAGGGGGACAGATACTAACTCTAAGCCCTTGTCAGGAGCAGTATCACAACATGTCTCTTGCCACCAAAGTCTCCCACCATGTTCGCTAAAAACGTCTGAATCACTTGCTGGAGGGTAGTTCCCAGTGTTGCTACGACTCGTGTTGTTAAGGGCTGTTGTGTCCTATCAGCTGTTATAACGTCCTGCCACCCATAAGGTTCCCATCCTGCCCCCTGTGGAAACGACACCTTACCGTCGCTGTGGCGCAATTTATAATGTTGTTGAGCTTAAT